ACATCGTTCGCGATCCCAGAAATCGACGGAGCTTTCTTCCGCTCTTGTGTGATTTAAGTAACCATTATAAACAACATAAATTCTCGTACGGCGTCGAAGAAAATGGCACGAATTACAGGCTAATAGTAGATTTTGATAAATGTTTACCTTAAGGGGTCATTGCTCCCTAAACTGGCATTTATTCGGCCTTTTCAGTGATTCTCTATACTTATTCTTCTTATGAGTATGTGCAGTATTTTTTTCACCAAAAAATATTAAAAATTGTAGAAGTTATAACTTCCAAATACTCCCTTAAGGGCTTCCCCACCGAACTCAATGATTCAGCCATATATTTTACTATCCACTTTCCTGAATATTTTAACACTCCAAACAGGCGTCGTTTCGCGCTAGTTTTCGCGATATTGTTATTACAAAACTATCAGAATTTACGCCTGAACGGGCGTGAAATTAAGCTCGCGCGAGCACCGTGTTGCATACTGTCAGGGGGCGCCGGAACAGGAGGAAAGCGTGTGAAAGATAATAACAGATGATCACGATTTATCGACTCAGATAATCGTTAGAACGAGTATAACAGTAACTACATAAAATGCATATATTTAACGTTTACGAGGTTATTGGTTTTAGTTGACGGAGCAGTAGAAGTACACATTTATCGTTAAATATCTGTTCTTTACGTAATGCTCGACCAACCAGACGAACGAACCGCTTTATTTGCTACTTATTTAACGAAAGATTTATTTTATTGCTGTATACCAGGAGTCCGCAAAGAGCCGCGATATTAGATCCGGGAGCAATCATCAAACTCCCATGATGTCACGAAGTTAGAGTTCGTCCGTACCAGTTACACGGCCCATTACCTCGACGTTGGTTATCGATAGGATTAACCTCGTGACCCGGCTAGCTTCTGGATACTAAGACGACCTGTTACAAATCCACCAATGACTGCGTTCCGCGGGGTTCTAAGCCAATCGAAATCGATACTAGTGGCCGGACGAGTCCCCCCGTTCCTCGCGTGGGAGATTCGCCCCGAAACTTCGCGATCGTCGGTACGATTTCCCGGGGACAATAATTAACAGAAACTGTTCGGGCACGATTACTTGCGAGGCGCATTCCCGCGAAACGCGGAACGAAAACTTTTCAGAATTAACGGAGCAGCGAGACGCGACGCGTTTCAAAGTCCAGTTTCAGGGAAACTGACGTTCCACGGAAATAAACCGTTACTCGAGAATTAATTAAATTAAATAAGTAAACGTTTCATGGTAAATTGAGAAACATGCCCGACGTCGAGAACGAAATGAACTTCAGAAATGGCTCACCATCGCCGAAAATGGCGCGCCGTTCCCATCCGAAAGTTCTAAATAGCCCGTTATTCCAAAGTCGAAAATGACCGGCAGTTTTTCCCCTCCGTGAACGACCAATCGCTGTTGCTCCGAGTGAAAAGACCCACCGCCCCCAATGGGAGGGGAAGAGGGGAGATTAAGAACGCCGTTTCGTCCGTCGGGAAGCATCGAGGGGTTCGTTAAAATCGAACCGCGAATCGTTTTATCGGTCCAATATCCATTCCCGCCGGTACGAGTAATGATAAATCAAGCTTTAAACGGTCGTTCGATTCAAATATCGAGTCGTTCGCGGCTAGTGCGCCCGGTATAACCGTCCCCGCTCTTTAAAAACTATATCGTCGCCAGAAAAACGGAAGTTCGAACGCTGGAACGTGGGAACAATGGCCCTTTCAAATGAAAATTTGATAAACAAAGGGATCGCCAGATCTCTGGTACCGCGATAGGAGGGCAGAATACATTTGTCAGAATTGGCGGGACGTTTCCGGCGGATTGCCAGCCCCGTGCTGGCTGAGCTAAATTGCGATTAGACCCTTGATCCTCGAACGACCGATTGACAGCGACAGGAACGACCAATTCTGGATCGCGTATGATCTACGATAATGCTCGTTTAAATTTCAGTTCCTCGGGGGGCGTTGAAATTCTCACCGGGCGCGGCCATTTTGTCCCCGGAACGGCGGAAACGAACGAGAAAGAATCGGTGGTGTGTTTATAATCCCCGGGGTAAACAATTTATTTACCGGGTGGGTAACGTTTGTCGACAGGAGAGAAAATTTATCGAGTGACATCGAGCAACACGTGGGAAGAATTTCGTAACGTAAGGGCGGGACGAAGTTGCCCGATAAATGGGAGAAACTTATTAAGGTGGCTACGTTTCGTTCCGAGAGGAGATATAAGGCGCAATTGTACGCATAAGAACAGCACCAAGTCTCGAAGCGACTTAATACGTTTGGGGGAAATATGGCGGCGATATATCACGCCCCGGGAACGATTCGTGAGGAAACTTCGTGCGTTCGAAAATAAAATTCAGGAATTCGAGTCGAAGGGAAGACGAAGGTTATGAAAGCAATCCATTTCCCCCCACGGATGAAGACGTCTATGGAGGCAACGTTCCCTCGATGATTGGAAAACGTTGATCCACTGTGGTTCGACCTGCCGTGGATACGAAATTAATGTCTGGAATTAAGAAACATTATTCCCAAACGTGCAGGGGAACACGGTGTCGTGCAATATTTCGAAACAGGCCACGACCGTGGCGCAAGTTTATCCGTACACGTCGAGTCCTGTGCAAACCACTTGAGATCGCGGCGGCAACTTCTTTTTCCGCGAGACGGTATCGATCGGGCCCTGGGCAGCCCCCATCCCCTTGGACGTCTTGGCGAACCCTTAGAAATTTCGGGATGCACCACGCAATATCGAGTACCGGGGGGTGGGGGGCTCCGGCCCATCGAAATTCCATCGCGAGAGAACCTACTTTCCACTCTTAACTTTCTCAGGAAAGTGCAAAAACATCCACGCGTCTTCCTGGAAGTCAGTGCAAGTAAAACTTGGAGCAGCGATGGGGTGGAATGACTCGTTGATACCAACGTGTATCCGTTTGTAAACACTGTTTGAAGGTGTGCTTCTATATGGTTCGAGCACCAAAGATACGCGAGAAGTGTCGCTTTGAAGTGAATTTCATCCTCACTCTTAGGTGGGACAGAAGTATTGCAGATCGGGTCGAAAATCGTTACTGACCCCGCTTTCAAGCAAATTCACTGACCCAATTTTGTCACTTGAAAGCGGGGAGTTTGTAGAAGTTGGAACTAGTGAGTGTAACGCATGTATTGCAGGTCGAGTTGATTATCGCTACCAACCCCGCTTTCAAGCAAATTAGAAGACCCAATTTTGTCACTTGAAAGCGGGTATCACTGTTGATAGAAGTCAGTACTAGTGAGTGTAACGCATATATTGCAGGTCGAGTTGATAATCGCTACCAACCCCGCTTTCAAGCAAATTAGCAGACCCAATTGCGTCACTTGAAAACGGGCACTAGTGTAGAAGTTGATATTAGCGAGTGTAACGCACTTCTCTGCATTTCTTATGGTACAATGCGTACAACAAACATTATTAAGACCCCAATGAGACAACAATGTATAGAAAGCGTCGCTTTCAAGTGACAATCTTAATACGTTACTCGAGTAGGACACCTATATGTGTGTATATGATAATCATATGTTTCTCTTAGAAAGAATTTGATACGAGAGTATCAATTTCAAATGTAATGAACGTTTAACACTGTTGAAGCACAAGAAGCGAGGAAATGATAGGAAAACGGTCTCCTGGTATCTGTAATTACGGAAGTTTCGAAATGGGAACAACAGAGAGGTTAATTTTTTCCTCGGTAATTGCTTTTTGTTTATACGAACAAATTATTTGTTATTATTATGATTAAAATTGCAGTTAATATCTATTTAACAAGCTGCAATGCAATCTCGAAGGAAAACTAAGAAATTTGGAGCAGCAGATATCTTTGGATGCCTTTCCACGGTATACCGAGCGATTGCATTCCCGCTAATTTGATGAAACTAGTTTCGAAGTACTTTCAATCTATGTAGACTTTAGATGCTCATTTCCTTCGTTTACTATAATATATTCCAACGAGTTTCCTCAAAACGTCTGGAAGTTAGCCTAACTCGAATATCATTCTCTCGGGTGGCGTTAAAGTGAACTTGGCACGATTTAAATTAATAAGGAAACCAAAAAGGGAGCGTGTTGTATAACGATTGTTTAAAAGTTTTTCAACTGTTTTCAACGTTTCGAGCAAAATTGCATAACCTTAGGAAACCAAAAAAGAAACAGTAGCACGATGATAATAAATCATGGATACTAATTTGTAAGGAATTTTTTTCTCGAAAATGGTTAGGATTTCGGGGGTATGTCTATTCACAAAAAATGATTGCAATTGACCCCTGCAACTGAAAATAATTTTTTCTGAACGATTTGGAAAAATTTTTTTTCGCCGAAAAATTTCAGGGAAACATATCAATGTATGGTCAGACATTACACTTTCGGAATTTTTTTCTCGAAAGTGCGTAGGAATTCGGTGGTATGTCTATTGACCAAAAATGATTGTAATCGACCCCTGCAACCTATAATAATTTTTTTAGAACGATTTGAAATTTTTTAATTTCGTCGAAAAATTTCAACACCTACTCGAATTTTTTTCTCGAAAGTGCGTAGGATTTCGGGGGTATGCCCAATGGCAAAAAATGATTCTAATTGACCCTCGCAACCGAAAATAATTTTTCCTTGAATGATTTAAAATTTTTTAATTTAATTTTTTAATAACTTTTTAGGAAATGTTGAATAAGACGATTCCCCTTGAAAAGCTCAAGAGAAGAAATTAAATTTTGACTGAAGTAGTTCGTTTATAAAGAAACTCGGTTTAGAAATTCATGTACCATGAATTGTTAAATTCGATTTCCTCGGAAACGAATTCTCGTAAGAACACGATTCATTTTTTATCTTCTACTTATATTTTTTTGTTACGGCCATCTTGACAGAACGATAAATCACATCTCACGCCGTACAGAAATTACTGTGAAAAATAGCGAACGATCGACATTTGTTTTTACGTGAACTCGTTCTATTACAAATAGATTCTAGCGAAACGATGCTTACCAGAGGAAGAAAGGAAGCCAACACGCTAGAAACGCTGACATGATAATTCCCAGTGTCCTGGCAGCCTTTCGTTCCCTCCTCATTTTGCTGCTGCTGGTGATCGGTGGATCCTCAGGCTGTGGATCTGGCGACGACTGATCTACCGTGGGTAGCGATGTTAAACCAGCAGAAATTCCGTTGATCTGCAGATGTTTGTTCAAAAGCGCCGCTGCCACTTTGCTTCTGCAACAGAACGACCCCAGCTTGTCAGTCGAAAATTTATCGAAAACAGTTCAGTTTCAATAAGGGTTGTAAAAAAGGAAAAAAAAATTAAATATCACTCAATGTCGTTTAAGGTAAATCAATGGCATTCGAGATGAATGAAAATAATTTCAATACATCATTAATTTAATGAAATATTTATATATTTTAATCAAATATATTTCGTTAACATTGCTGTCTGTTTGTGCAGATCAATTTATTTCGAACGAATAAACAACGAACGACGGCGAACGTTATCGATTTACAACAGCAAACTCATTTCTTATAATTCTGTTTTCGCTGCTTTTAAGAATGCTGGGAATACCGGGAATATTTCCGGGTAATAGAGTTAAACGGAACTCTCTTATTAACTAAATGACTTCCATGAATCTCGCGGAGGAGCGCGTAAATTCTTAAATTCATGGCCGATCGACGGTCAAATTGGTTTAAAAAGTGGAACAGGTTGATGTTTCTCGCGGACAGACGTCAGAGAATTTCTTCGAGGCTGCACGGGCGTCGTTCGATGGATCAGAAATTGCATGTTAATTCGATACTACGCCCCCGCTGGAGAGTCCTTTCAGTGTCACGCGAAAGGCGCTGGAGCTCGCGTCGCGAGATGAAGCGGCCTTCATCGGGCGGAGAATCGAGAAAAGATTCAGATCAAAGTCGAAAGTTCGAGACCGGGATGTAGAAGTAATTTTCCAAGGAGCTAATAAAAGTTGCTGCGATTGCTTTCACGGTGGCCCGTGGCGTTAAATCGCGTTTCCTCGCGATTGATGCCACGCAACGAACAGAGCCGCACTTTTATCTCTTTTTGCCAGAAGAAACTTGCAAGTTGATCAGAAAAAAGGAAGGAAGTAAAAGAGAACAGCAATCATGAGCTATTTACTCCAGTGAGTTTAACGCTTGTCGACAGTCTCGGAGCAAGAAATTTATGCGAAAGTTGTAATTACGGCCTGCGACTGGGAATCCAATAACGTGAAAGCGTATTTTTTCACTTTGGGGAATCAAAATTTTCGGTGGATTTTACTCCTCTACAAATTCTCGAGAAAAGTTAAGTAAATTTGATAGAACTGGTATTTACGTTAAATAATGTTATATTAATTCAAATTAATAAATTTGCATTGATTTTGTTAAGTTTTAGTTTGTATTTATAATAATTAGAGACAGGTATAGCGTCTTTTGTGTTGAAAACTACATATGCCTGACCATAAGCGTACCACTATCACTTATGGAGTTTGTTTCTGTTACTCTTTTAGTTTTGTACTGATATTTAGCTTAGATATAACTAATAATATATTAAATTATTGTTAGTTCGGATGGTTTTCACTCGAAAGCATCGTCGACGCATTCAAATTTCGCATGTCCGACTATATATATGTTCTACTACTACTTAATTCTGATTCTACTTTTCCCTCACATTTTTTAACCTTCTCCGCGTGTAAATATTTTTCAAAGCATTTCTCCATGCATAACTTTTACAGGAAACAATTTAAAAAAATGTAGAACTTGACAAAAATTATTATTAACAAATTCTACAATTACTACTTGAGCCTTTCTTTCACATAAAATCACACTACTACCGATATCTTAGTATATCTTTCAAAGTGTACATTAATTCGGAAATTATCATAAATAATTTCTCTTTTTTATTATGTATTCTGAATATAATGCAAAACCTTCAGCTAACCATGTCAAGCTGTTACGCTTCATTTCTCGGAATTAACGCTGACGCAGATTGAATTTTACCCTTCGATAATAAAGTATTGTAAAAATTCCTAACAACCTCGTCGACAACAACAACCGCCAGTCTTTGTTCCATTGCCTTTTTGCCGCGGAGATTTAACGATTTGCTATAAATTGAATACGATTGCCGCGAAATTTAATTAAAACGCGAGGCGGAAAGCTCCGTTTGAAACGATTCCTTCGTTCCTTTACGTGACTTAAATTTCCAATCTGACGGACCAGTCGTTTAGTTTATTAGAATGCAAATGTAAAATATTATCGCGGCTGCTTTTACGCCTGTAGTTACTCGTTCCCTCGTAATCGTTTCGCGTGCAACGTTTCCGTTCTGCACGTTTTATTCACCCCCCCATCGCGACGCACGAGCATTTCGTTCGATTTAATTCAGGGCATAAATATCCATGGTAAATGGTTAACGAGTGTCCGCCACCATCAAGCTCTAATTAAGGTCACCATTAAGTGAGAATTAAGTGTTTTTCTTGGATCTTCAAGGACATATCAAGGTCACTTTGGAGGCTTCAAAGTGCAATCAAAACGTGAAAAGAGACAAATTTATAAGGAATTCGTTCAGATATTTTGGAAATATTCTCATAGAAAATTCGTTAATTAAAATAATTAAAATTATATCGATACCTATTCTGTACGTCTCTAAACATAAGAGAAGACCCCTACAAAAAGTAACATTGTGAAAATTTAGGGGTCAGTTGAGACTCGTATAATTCGAAGCTTGATCTAACGACCCAGTTCGAAAAGTGGCTGCATCGGGTAAAATAGTGAAAATATCGTGGCTGGGCGGTGAAAATAAGTAATCAAAACACCGTGGAGGATCGTAATGGCGCCACCGCGTATTTCCCCCCGTCTCAGTTTCCTTTATCCCTCTGACGTTTCGCGTTTACGTTCTCCTATTTCAATTCCAATTTTTCCACGGTTTGCCTTTGCACCCCTGTCGCCGTGCGCGTACCAAATTGCCGCGGTTGGTTATTCAGACGTACCGGAAACAGGTTCTCCGATCCTCGGGATCGACGTCGACACACGGGGGCCGATTTCGTATATTCGAATTGGGACGCGGGAAAGTGGAAGTTGGCGTGCGGTCGATGGCACACATTTTCGTTCCAATTTTTCTTGCGACACGCAAGTGGAGGAGCTCCGGAAAACGGTCGCAGCCACGGCCGCCCGGATATATGTGACGGTCTTTGTTCTCGTAAATATCAAATTACTTGCATCCTGATCCATGGAACGACGGACAGAGAAACCGAGGCTCTCTCGAATGTATGTAAATATTTCTGACTGTGAATTCGAAAAGATTCGGAACATACGAGACACTGTACCGCCTGGACAAATGTAAATATACAAAGTGTTCGACCACCGCTGGGAAAAATTTTAATGGGAGATTCTAGAGGCCAAAATAAGACGAAAGTCAAGGATACTCATTTGTTGATTGAGGCTTCGTTAAAAAGTTAAATAATTTGTCAACCTTCCTGAATTTTTTTCTCGAAAATGGTTAGGATTTCGAGGGTATGTTGATTCACCAAAAATAATTGCAACTAACCCCTGCAACCGAAAATAATTTTTTTAGAACGATTTAGAATTTTTTTTTTTCGCTGAAAAATTTCAGGGAAAGATGTCAAGGAATGGTCAGACATTACATTTTCGGTAAAGAATTTTTTTCTCGAAAATGGTTAAGATTTCGAGAGTATGTTTATTCACCAAAAATGATTGGAATTAACCCCTGCAACCGACAATAATTTTTTCCGAACGATTTAGAATTTTTTTTCGCCGAAAAATTTCAGGGAAACATATCAAGGTATGGTCAGACATTGCATTTTCGGTGAAGAATTTTTTTCTCAAAAATGGTTAGGATTTCGAGTATATGGCCATTGACCAAAAATGATTATAATTAACCCCTGCATTCGAAAATAATTTTTTCAGAACGATTTACAATTTTTTTTTTCACCGAAAAATTTCAGGGAAACGTGTCATTTTTCAGTGAAAATCTGATACAATTCCTGCTGGTTAATGGATGACTAAGGGAACAATTTCTCCGCCATTTTGCTGGACTTAATTTACATTTTAAATAGAGATTCTTTTTCTGAACAGAGTCTGCTTCAACAATGTATTTCGAAAATACTCGAAGCTTAACACAGATGGAAAAATGGATTTGTATTGTGAGCATCTAAGCAAAAATCACCAGAACCTATTCCCCTTAACCAAAGGCTCTTTGTCCCTATAATTCCACAAGTCACAAAGGAAGCTCCAGAAGTGACCGCGATCGATTTCAATGAAATTCCGCACGCTGGTGGATCAGCATCTAAAATAAGCATAACCAAAATGTTAGCTGCAGATGGTCGACCAATTTTGAGAAAACTGGATTTGAAAAAACAAAGCAAAAACAAAGGATAAAATTATCGAGAAGATTACGTTCCTAAATACATTTGCAAAATTAACTAAATCGAGTACACAGTCTATAAAGGAATTGGATATCAGTTCTGAGATGTTGGTCCAAGATGGAGTCGTGAATAGCGCGATGAAAGCTGCGATACCCTTCGTTTTTCCGCGTAATGCCGGAAAGTTTCGTCTTTGCTACGAATTTCGAGCATCTTGCAAATCAACGAGGCGCTTGAAATCGCCGAGCCGAGGGATCAGATCGGAGGAACGTGATAAAACAATCCTTGCTTTGACAGTGAAAGCCGTACTCGTGGCTAGATTCCCGATTCTCGTTCGCCGGGAGTATCGGATCGGAGGCAGCGGGGATTCCCTTTGACGCGAAATTGAAAGCCGAGCCGTCGAGAAGCGACCACAGATTTAATTTTTCCTTTGAGGAGGACAGCAGAGGCGAGGGCGTACACGTCTTGGAAGACAGATACCGTTTCACTCGCGCTTTCGGGGATAAAACAGCGCTCGAGCCTGGCCTGCCAAAGGTGTGTGTAAATCAAGATCGGAATCTTTGAAGAACCCCTCTGTGTCTAGTGTGCCTCGGCTCAGACAAAGTCGATAACACATTTTCTGATCCCATTTCGTGGGGAATCTCCAGCAGCAGGCCCCATGAATAGTTTTTTATACCTTTTCAGTAATCTAACAAAGGAAACTTCGAAAGCAATCGCCACCGATCTTAATAAAATTTAATAAAAGTTCGAAGACAATTTTTCCATTGTTTCCTAAATGAAACATAAATCTTTTCATTTCTCTGTAGATTTCGAGAATCGAGTTACAACCATAATGTCTATACTCTCATTGGTTTA